AATGGCAGGCGTTATGATAGGTATCATTAGACCTTTAGCCGGCTTCGTGCTTCACAGAAAGGAAGATGAACATCCAAGTGGTAAAAAGTCGAGAGGGGGACAGAATAATGATTCACAGACGTAAAAGAGACAGACATACACAAAGGTAGAAAAAAAGGTGAGGTGAATACTGTGGAATGATTCGAATATGAAATGCAATCGGGTCATGGTAGTTTGAAGTCAGAAGTCAACTGCCGATTAATAGACTTTTTTGCCACATGAGTATACGTTGCCCAGGGTGCACCACGTGGAGGTATGTCTATCGCACACCCCACACAGTAGAAAGTAGAAGTTTCTGTAGAGCGAGAGATGAAATGGATGATGGGCCGACTACAAAAGTTGAACCTCAGGAGTTGGAGAGGGAAGACGTTGATTAGTAAGTGGCAGTCAGGGGTTGGGAAGAATTGCACCCGGCTATTCATGCTTAGTCAATAGACAGATGGACTAGTTATAGGTCAATAGAAAAGTTCAATTGTGAATGTAGGCTAAAAGGTATGTCTAGTAAGGAGACGGTGGGGAATATAAAACACTTCCTGATGGTCATTAGAGTCTTCACCAAGGTGAACTTCGTCCAGCAACAGCGGCGTCTGTTGAAACTGCAGTAGACTAAGGTGGGAGCAGGGTTAAACTAGACATCTTAATTGTAAGTCGTTGGAAAGGAAAGAATATCATCCTCTAAAGATAGTGTTTTGTTAGCAATGGAAGTGGAATGTAAGGCGTTGGATGAATGAGATTTTCACAAGAATAGCAGGAGGAAATGCTGATTAGAGGACTCACCTCTGGTTCTTGCTTAGAGAAGTGTAAGAGAAGAACTGATGCAGTAGAAACCGACAGCTGGGGAGGGGTCGGTCCAGAGTGTAAATACAAAAGCGTCCCACAAAAGGAGGTGGAGTGGTTTAAAGACATTTTGGAGACAGATTTCATTTTGAGCCTCATTATGGAGTATAATTGATATTTCGTTACACGATGGTATGGACTACGGATACACTGTGAAGTAGGTTTCTTATTTTCGACACCGTTGACTTTTTAAAATTCGAGCAAGTTTCAACAAACTACTTCTGCCTTTATTGAAATCATGAAACAGAATCTAGGGGCGTGTTTATTGAACCGAAAAAGTTGCAGTGCTAGCATGTAAATTTTTTTGCGGGTTTCTATATATATATATAATCAACTCAGAGTTTGTACATCTGGCAACTTTGTTATTTCACACTTAAACAGCGCGCGTTACAAAGAATCGTTTTACTATGACCTTCAACATTGTAAACCGTGATTGTCAGAGAACAGTGGTTGAGTAAAGATGAGTGCCTTAGTAAGGTAAATATCTCCTTAATGAATTCCAGTAGAACATAGTCTTCTCCCAATCAGTATACCAGCCTGTGGAATGACACTGACAATCTCAAAACTAGTGTGTCATTCCATGGAGTCATGGAGGTGTTGTTAAGCCATAAATACCTTTCTAGATTTTCAATCTTGTCTTCAACACCTTCTCTCCTAATATCTCAAGAAACTATTTGCAATGCTCTTGCCATCTTTTAGTAATCAGATGTCCAAGAACTTCTGGGTCTTCTTACTCTTTGCGGCTCCACTTCCACGCAATCGATAAGCTCTACCTTAATCAGCAATAACTGGTGATCTATTAAATTAAGTGCGGCGATGCAATCTTTTTAACTCCTCTAAATCACACTGTTTTTAACATGTCTCTTAATTAAGAGTTAAGGAAAATTATTAACTCGGTGGTACAAAAACTCATTCTGAACATTCGATTGACAGTGACGTGACGATGAGTGGCTTTGGGTAATAGCCCAACCCGACAAGTCTTTAAGGCTAAATGATTTCGTCTTCTAAGGAGGTAGTGGATCATTCAATTCTTTGCAAATCACTTGAGAGTAGAAGTTGGGACTAAGCATTCACGCGAATTACCTGTCACATCTCCTTCTGCTTAAATATGCATCGTCTATTGCAACTGGGATGTCGCCCGCAAACCACGTTCGAGCTAAGCCAATCTCATACTGATCTCAGTCTTGCTGAACTTGTATAAGCATGCACTGAAACCTGCACTATTAATGACATCATGAGATTTGCGGGATTTTTGGAAGGTCGTTAGCGATGTTCCATCGGTAACAATATGATTGACAATATAAAACCAATTAGGCTTCAATACCAAATTGCTTCGCTTAGCTAACAATGACCTTCTCTAGTAAGTACTCAAGAACACATTCAGGAGGTCGAATAAAATCGATAGCATCAAGCGATCGAATCCACTCCCCCTCTCACTCAATATTTTTCCAGCCAAAAGTATGAGCAATTTAAAATTTCACGAAGGAAACCAATCAACGAAAACAGCAAATTTCTTATGAAATCTATTGCCAAGAGTTACAATAAGGAAAAATGAAGAGATGGAAAATACAATTAATTAACGATGGGGGGGGGAGTATTTTGGCGGCAGTTAGTCCTACTTTTCCACCTTGAGGCTATTGGGATCGAAGGGTTGACCTTTAAAGGGTGAATCATCCCGATTCCACGCCTGTTTTAGCATATTTTGGATCCGCTAAAAAAATATGATAGGAAATGATCATTAGGTTTTGTGAATAAGAAAAGGAGATGTTCCTCTTATGAAATTTGGCTAATTTCGACCAGTAAATGAGTGACACACACACACACACGGAGCCGCAACCAAAGTCAATTATAAAATTGAAGTACTCACTGAAACCCAAATTGTGGTTTGAACACATTAGTGACCACATGAAGGAGAGCTTGCTATTCGAAGTGCTTTTAATAGAAACAACGATATGTCAGGCATATCTACAGTACCTCAAATGTATTCACGATGTATCTCAGTGAGAATCCGCGTTTGTCAACTATAACCGACTTGGTTTTAGCAACGCGTCCATACCCTATGTCTGCAGGGAAATGAATACGAAAAGATGAATAGTAATACAGGTGTAGTTGATGATGAACGCTAGAAATTGCTACCTACACTTGTTCCACCCATTGAACGAGAATCAGATCGTAGAAGGCCCCAGCTAATAAGTTCAAAACTGTAGTAAGTCAAAGAGAGGTAAATTGAATAAAACTAGATGAGGGAGAAGTGTTTGAGCAGCTTATGATTCACTTGGATAAGGACTTGCACGAGTTGCAGAAAAAGGGAATCGATAGCCCGGCTAATTATGACAGAGACATTTGAATCAACAGGGCATAACGACATCACTGCACCTTCGTGGACGAAATATGATTCTAGCGTAATGAGTCATCCATTAACCTTCTCAATTCTGATGAGTCAGGAGAATTTTAGGGGATAAACACAATGGAATATGCTTTGTTGATCATAATCAACTTGTTGAATGGCATGAATTCGGGAAACATTGGCGAAAGCGGGAAGCCAGTATCGAAACACATGAAACTAACCTGTTCTTCTGAGGTAGGAAGACCCCTTCGTTTCTGCTCCTGATCAAAAAGGAGTTGGGCAATCTTGCCTTGGGCCTCCTCGTCCAGCTCATGAATGGGTTGAGAGCAATCGATTTCTTGGACATTGATTTTCTCCTCATCTTCAAAAGCAGAATCCCACCAGTGCTCACGAACTTTGTCCAGCGATATTGTCAGCTACAAAAATAGCAAAGAAGACGGACTAGAGAGATATTGCAAGAGAATGGAAATACAAATGGTGACAGAGTGAATTGGAATATTAATAACAAAGGGAAGTTTGTTCTCCATTAAAGTGACATCAATTTGACTGAACAGGTACTGACCAAATGTATTGATAATGTAGACAGTTATGTCGTCTAAAAATATAACGACAGTCATCAACAACAAGCGTGGCAAGTTCTTGGGTTTCCATTACCGTGGGCCAGTGATCAATGTGTACAACTATTGCGTCTAAGATTAGGAGGTCGGTACTTATCAATATACAACTAGCGACGTAAAATGATAAAAAAACTGGTTAATTAGGATCCGCAAAAAATGGTACATTCCTATAGCCTTTGTGAATATTATTGGAAAACATTGAAATCCATTGGTGAAAACTTCAAATATGGGGGAACTGATAAGGTTGCAGTTCAGTATTTGCACAAACGAGAAATTGTCAAACCAATTTGACTGTTTACACCAACCACAGCACAAATTTTCACATCATACAAAGAGCACAAATGAAAAAATGACAATTGCAGACGGAGACCTACCACAAGTACCACTAAGTTGCCGACATTATTGATTTACCAAATCTTTTTCGCCTAAAATTATCACATCCTGCAAACTGCCTTTAAAGTCATAAACAAAATTAATCATGAAAAAATTCGTACGGATTACTATGAAATTAAACCACCACTAACAACTTAAGCTTTTTCATGATAGCTAGGTAGAAAAGAAAGCCGAGTAAAGATGAGAAAAAAAACAATTTGGAAATGAAAACAGATGAATTTCCACAAATCTTCCCAGTTATGCATAACTTAAATAGCTAATTAATAAAATGATGTATGAAAAATTGAGTCTGTGAGGAAAAACAATATTTGACTAAAACATTCAGCGAAAGACAGAATCTAAGCAAATACAAAAGCAATACAAGAAAATAAAATTTTGGTGACAGCAAGCATACCAGGTGTTCATCAGCTTCGAACGACCATTGAGCAGTTTCGGTCTTAATATCCATGGAGAGATTAGAATTTATAATATACCCTTGAACGCCATTTTCAAAGATTGTTATGTGCTTCTTTGCAATCTTTACGGTTAATTGTTTAGCAGATTTGATGTGCTCTGGAATTTTAACTTGAATATCAATTTCTCGATGTTTTTGACTCCATGAATAATTAGCTCTTCGAGCTCCATTGTAGCAGTCCGGTTCAGCCTCATACAAGCGCTCGCCGTTTGCTTCTTTCTTAAATAATGTCCCAGGGGATGATCTAACGACTTTCTTTTCAGACTCTGTGGAATTATCACCGGTTTGTAAATCAGAATTAGGCTCGGACAAATTTGATTTAGACTTATTAGGCACTTCTGAATCTTTATGTGGCATAAGAAAAAACAGCGGCTTACCTTTCGAATCAACTGTTATGTCAGACTTTTGTTTAGCTTCACTTGTGCTTGGTATTTTCGCTTTGGGTTTCGTTTCCGATTTTTCTTCAGCAACAGATTGTGGCTCAGTAGCTCTGACTGAAGAATTCTTTTCTTGATATTCTTTAAAGAATGTATCATATTTGTCGAAAGCCTAAACGGTCAATTTCAGGAATAGATTAGTCACCTTGAGGATAATTTTTAATGCAACGCCCTTTGGAAAACCAAGTTTTCCCCCAGGTTGAAATTCGTAAAAGAAATCAGTTCTATATAATAACGAATGCAATAAAAATTGAGCAAACCTTCGCATAAGAAAACCAAACATAACGTCGACGAACTTTTCAATATTGCCTTCACTTTGTAAAATGCCCAACAGCGCACTATCATATCTTAAATCCATAGTTGCAATACCAAAGAATTGTAAAGTGAGCAACTAGGCTAATCCGGAGTATAAAAGTAAGTATAACAAAAGTTTATAATTAGAAGCATATTCATGTAGCTACAAAAAGAAATATTCAAATTCAAAGAGCATAATTTATTACCATAAATTGTTTTGACAATATTTAATCTAAATAATTGCTTTAATAAACTTGTCTCCTGTTTAAAATTATATTCATAAAATGCAATAAGCCACCATGATATCAATTAAAATTAATTATAAATTTTTTTAATTTCACGAAGTCTTATCTTTAGTTCAATAAATTAATTATAGTGACCTTGATTAATAGCGGCAGATCGGATGAAACCTTCTTAACTGTTTCACAATACATTTAGAATGACTGGAAGTAATTCAGGATCAGATGATAGTAGTGAATCACGCAAAAGGCATTCAGACGATCAATGCGAAACTGGTTGTAGTTCAAAACGGCCTAATTGTGGAGGTATTTTATTTGATTATTTAAAAGCACATTTAAATATTATTTCAATAATGTTCGTTTTAATTTATTCCTTCAGACTCGTTTATATGATTTTAATTTTGATCTTCTTCTTTGCTTTCAATATTCTTCTGATTTATTTTTTTGTGAATAGTTCCACTAAATGAATTAATATTTTCTTTATCATTTTCATTTAGCATCTACTGTTCATCTCAAGGTACTGATACCCTCAATCGCTGCTGGAGCTGTCATAGGTAAAGATGGTGAAGCCATTGAACGGATTCAAAAAGAAAGCGGAGCTAAAGTTAAAATGTCCAAACGGAATGATTTTTATCCAGGTGCGTTTTGCGCTCGTTCATGCTTTATCATATTCTGAAATTTCGCTAAATAATTAATTCGAAAGCTTTGTTTGCCGTGCATTCATGCCATGTCTTGATATTTAAAGCTACATTTTAAATTATTCCCAAATAGAAATTTCTATAATTAAAACCAGGATTCTAGTTCCAATTGCAATGATTTAAGATTTGTACATTAATTTAGCTTTATTTCAAGTTATTCATTGTCTATATTTTGATTTATTTTGTGCAGTATTATTAGAATTGATCAGTTGGACGAGGGTAGTGGAAGATTCTTGAAATTCATAGAATATATTAAGATGCAACCTACTTAGAATTTGTTTTAAAGATCATTTTTATGAATGACTGTCCATTTATTTATACAGCCGCAAGTGACCTCACTTCTGGACAGCTCCATTAGTGTTCACTCTCACCGATATTATAGCCCTCGTGTTAAAACTTCTCTTCAATTTATTTATCTTAGTTTACGTTGCAAATATTACTTTTACTTCGTATGGAAGCTGCCTAAACAGACTGGCTGAGATATCATTGAAATTGAGGTGTTTGGGGGTTAATGCTGTATTCTATTTTTATTATGTTGAGTAAATAGTATAATATTTTTCATTTGCTTCTTTAATTGCCTCTCCTAATTTCGTTTTTTTTCAAATTGTTTTTCTCCATCGAAATGCTCCTCTCTCCAGTTTCGCCTGCGATATATGAAGCTAATTTAATCACCAATAATACCTTCTATAAATGTTATTGAAACTCTTATCTTCGAAAAAAAATATGTTTAGGACAAACGAAACAACTAGTTTTGCTCATTTTAAGCTCTGAAATTTAATTGATAAGTTTGTAGACTTTTATTGGCATCTTATTTACTGCTAATGTTGTCATGATTTTGAGCTCCATTTCGTGTGTAGAATTACTGAGACGTGATTGGTAGATATTTTTAAATAAACTTTGAATGATGGATATTTGTATTTATTATTGTTTCTTGCCATAGTAGTACAAGCCACCGACAACTACGACGTTCACGTCAGGGATTTATTACTTCTATCCGATTTTGAGGTCCTTCTGGGATTTTGTGATTTTGCGCAGTAGGCATAAAATCGCAAGAAACCATTAAATTCTATAATTCAATTCCTTCTAGCATATTTGCTTTCCTAATTCGTACTTTGCTCTTAAAGTTGACAGACCAAGTTAAACAAAATCAATTTTTGCCTACTCTTTTCACATCCAATGAGACGACCTTGACTAGCTTTTTTTCCTCCTTAAATGAATCATCGCAATGTTCCCTTGACTCTCTTTTTCCCTATTGGACGAATTTGTAGTCTGTTTAGATCAGACTAAATTTTCTCCCCCACCCCCCAATCACCCCACTCCTCCCACTAAATTGTGTTTAATTCAATCTCAATCAAAAACTTTGCACACTAGAAACCACTATCATCTATCTCTGCTGGTCTGGTTCCGTAAATTTTATTCAATTTAGCTTTTCTAAGCTTCTTTTTTCTATTTTAAATTTATGCAATTGCGAATCTATTCTTCTAATCACCTCACTTGAAATTTATTTCTCATAGTAATTGAAATTATAAGAACACCTTGCAGCTTTGAGATTGTTTATTTATAATTTCCCATCCTTGTGATATAAGATAACTCTTTTAATCACCCTGATAATTTCTTGTTTAAATGTAATCACTTTTTTGCTCTCAAAATATAGTTTTTAGATAGGGTTCTGCTATGAAACTACGTTTTAATATTTTTCCATTAAAATTATGTATTTGATTATTCTGCTATCATTCTATTATTTTAGTTAATTAAATCAAATATACTATTATCTCCCTATTTTATCAGGTTAAAACTTTTTCCCTGCACCGTTAACGAATGCTTTATCAACATAAAACATTTGAACCCCATTTGCGATTAGATAAGATAAGATTAATGATTTCTTTTCTCTAAAAGCAACTGCAATCTTTTCATACACAATTTATTTTCATGCGAATATTTTCACTTTATCTCCATGAACTTCATTTGTCAATTTTTTGTGTGGTTTGCCTAGGTATTTTATTATCTTTTTTTCTATTAGTAAAACTGAACACAACGAATTTGTGTTGAATTTTTTCCATGGTTTTTTTGGAGTGGGGGTTGGGGGG